TACTACCACACAAGTCCTGAATTGTATGCCTCTGGACTTCTTTGATATGTGAGAAAAAACTGTATATATTTTAAATTCTTTCACTTTGGGTATTCAGTTCTATGCAGCCAAACTCCAGCTAATTAAAATACCATTTCTACTCACAACAGTCTAGTGCTTATCCTACAGCGCCATACTAGATACCAATCAATGGTACCAGAGATCCTAACATGGGCAGAAGTAAAAACTAAATATGTAAGAAATGAAAAAAACTGTAGTTATTCATAAATGAATTAAAAACTCAAAAGAATCTTTACAGAAAATTATTAGAAATGAGACTAGCAGGATTGCTAGAGAAAAAATTGTTGAATGCATTTCAATATACCAGCAACAATCAGATAATTTTTTAAATTAAGGGTATATGCATTATTTACAGTAGCAACTAAAACAGTTCTCTAGAAATAAATCTAGCCTAAATGTCAAAATGTTGTGCAGAAAATTGTAAAAAGATTTTTTTAAAAAAGACTTTAGGGGAACCAGAATAGCTCAAGGAGACTCAAAGCTAGGGCTACTTCTTCCAAAAATGATCAATGCAATTGTCATCAAAATCTCAACAGAGCTTTCCATGAAACTTGACAAGCTGACATACATAGTTAGTTTCTGGTCAGCAAAGAGTCAAGAATAGCCAAGACATTACTGAAGGATACAGCAAGGCAGAAGGTTTGCTCTCCAGACATCAAAAGTTATCATTATTGTTGTTAAGTGCCATTGAATCAGTTCCAACTCATAGCAACCCTGTATTAGGTTTCCAAGGAGCAGCTGGTGGGTTTGAACAACTGACCTTGCAGTTAGCAGTCCAGTGCTTATCCTACAGTGTCACATCAGGACTCCAAAAGTTATTATAAAGCTAGAGAATTGAAGAGGGTGTTGATGCAGAAAAATAGAGCAGCAATAGACCAGATAATAACTATATATGTCAACTTAAGGGGACATTGTTGATCAGTGGCAAAAAAAGGTACAGGTCAATAGATGGATGCTGCCACAACTAAAATGAAAACAAAGAAACTGGATATCAGGTAATATACATAAAACAATTACATTGACTCTGTTCTAATTCATAGTTCCAACTGTATAGGGTTTCCAGGTAATGGCTGGTAAGTTTAAACTGCCAACCTTGAGGTTCAAACTGACCTTGCAGTCCAGTGCTTATCCTACAGTGCCACACCAAGATTCTATAATAATTATAGATGATGGACTATTAAATGTGAAAGACAAAACTATAAAAATTTTAGAAAAAGTTTAGAATACTTTTGAGACTCATTTGATGTAAGAAAATATTCTTAAATGAGATTTTTTAATTGACTTTTTCAAGTACATCAAAACTAAGGGGAAAAAACACTAACTCTATTAGAATTAAGAACTCTTTTTAATAAAACAGAAATAAAATGAAAAGATAAGCTAATAATTAAGAAACTAATTTCATAGCATTACAATCCATACTCACATAAAGAGTTCGCCCAAATCAGTAAGAAAAAAGACAACTCCATAGAAAAATAGACCAAAAAAATAGTAAATAATAATGGTCAACACAAATGGCCAATGAATCTTTGAAAAGAATTTCAACTGTATTATTATTCAGGGAAATGAAATTAAAACCACACAAGAAACTTTTTCTCACCCACCAGAAGGAGGGAAAGAAAACTTGAAGTGTTATAAAAATACAGATCAACTGAAACCCTCTACACTCCTGTGTTGTGTTGTGTTGTGTTGTGTTGTGTTGTGTTGTGTTGTGTGACTCAGGCTACCTGATGGGGCAGAGTTGTTGTTAAGTGCTGCTGAGTCTGTTCCACCTTATACCGACCTGCACAAGGTCTCCAAGGAGCCACTAGGGGGTCTTGCAGTTAACAGTCCAGTGCTTATCCTATAGTGCTAGAAGTATCTTATAGTGTTTCCTACACTATAATCTTCACAGAAGCAGATTGTTGGGTTTTTTCCCCTTCTGTGCTGCAGGTGGTTTGAACCGCTAACTTATGGTTCCTGATAGGAAGATATATTGGTGTCACCACTGGGAAAAACATTAGGTTTTGTTAATAAAGCTGAAGATGCATACCATATGCTCTAGAAAATAATATAATTCTACTGATAAATCTTAGCAAATAGGTACAAAAATATTCACAGTCATCCTATACGCAATAGAAAGGAAAAACTCTCCAACAACCTCAATGTCGACAGTAGGAAGTAAAAGAGCAGAATGAAAACACCATGTGTCAACATGGATTATCGCAAAACAAGCAAAGGAAGAAAGGTACATACAATGTGGGCATTTATATAAAAGTCAAAAATTGGCAAAATTAAATAACATGTTGTTAAAAGATTCCTACATATGGGGTTCTGTAGGGTCAGAACTGGACTTCGAACCTCAAGGTCAAAAGTTCAAATCACCAGCTGCTCCTTGGAAACACTATCCAGGGTCGCTATAAGTCAGAATCCGCTGGATGACACTTAAAACATATGTGACAAAATGCATAGAAAAGTTTAGAAAGCTTGATGTAACAGTCAAGATATGTCTACTTTCTATGGAGTTGATTCCAACTCATGGTGACCCCGTGTGCATCAGGGTAGAAGTATGTTCAACAGCTTTTCAACGGCTGATTTTTCAGACGCAGATCTCCAGACCTTTCTTCCTTAGCACTTCTGGGTGGATTTGAACCTCCAACCTTTCAATTAGCAGCTGAGTGTCTTAACCCTTTGCATCACCCAAGCACTCCAGTTTACACCACCCAGGCACTACTCTGGCTGGTAGAAAAGAGGATTAATTAGATTGGAGAAGACTTAATTAATTAAGTTTTCTTTCTTAAACTGAATGAGTTCGTATGGGCTCGTTTAATTTCTCTCATAATTGTACATACTAGCTATATACTCTACTCTGTGCATGCAATATTTCAAAACATATTTTAAAGAAACTAAAAAAATTTCAAACAAACTGTTGTAATTGCTCTTCTTGGTCAGCTGTTACAAACGGAATGCCTTTGCTTAAAAGCAGCATTTTAATTTCAACAAAGCAATATTTACAACTGACATTTTAAAGGCTGCTCTTTAAAAAATTACTGTTTCCTTCAAAATATATGTATCATATCCAACTCATTTTAAAAAGCAACTTTAAAAGTGCAATAGACCTTAATGTTTTCTGTAGAAATATACAATAGACTTTGACCTACACCACACAATTACTAAGTTTTTATACACCAAATGAAATTTGCTCTGTGAATGAAATTTTCTAACTTGTTTTAATGACAGCAAAATAGACAAACATGTAAGTGCTAAAAAAAACACTAAAACAGGTTAAGTGTAATTAAATTATGATAAATCGGATTTCAATCTTAAAATTGCTGCCTAAGGCCTCAAAGAAAAACTGCCAAAGGTGAAAACTACAGGATGAAATTGAGAGACTCCAGCTAGGTACTCGAATTTGATCAATAACATCCCTGTGTCTGGCAAATTCAGACTCACTATCATCCTCCACAAATAACAAATGCCAACTTAAAAAAATTTTCCCCAAATGTCTGCATCTCCGTTGGCAGGTATTTTTATGTTCTGGAATATCCCTAGAAAGGCAGGTACCAATCCCGGCAGACAAAATAAGTAGCCCTGATTTCTTGGGTCACACAGTGAGCCGGCGACAGATCCAAGAATCCCATCCAAATCTTGTTGTAATAGGTTATGTTCTAGAACGCAGATCTCTCTCCCAGAGTTCTGGGGTGCGCATTATGGTGGAAAGGGTGCTGAGAATTAAGAATCTGTTAAATCAGATGGACCCTTACAAATCATTCAGTCTAACCCCCTCATTTAGCGTTATGAGAAATGATGCCTCAACCAGAAAAACACTTGCTCGGGGTCATAAAGCTATTTACGTTTGTCCCCTCTTTCCTTGTAGAGTCCTGGTGTGGTGCTGTAGGATAAGCAACGGATCGCAAAGTTGGTTCAAACTGCAAGGTCGGCAATTCAAACTCACCAGCCTCTACTCGGAAACCCTATGCAGGGTTCTCATGAGTCGTAATCAACTCAATGGCACTTAACAGCAACAACCTTGGTGTGGCGCTGTAGGATAAGCACTGGACTGCTAACTGCAAAGTTGGTGGTTCAAGCCCACCAGTCGTTCCTCGGAAAGCTGAGTCGGAACCGACTCGATGACGCTTAACATCTTTCCTTGCCCGGTTGTCACCGCCCCCACCACCACCACCACCACCACCACCACCACCACCAAAAGCTATTCGCTGCTAATACGTGATGGGGTAGACCTAGCCCAGACATTCGTCAGGGCTGATAAAGGTCAGAGAGGAAATGGGATCAGCTTCTCTGGTTACAGAGGGGGAAACTGAGACTGGAAAGTGATTCAGCTTGGGTGGTAAATTACCAATCCTGCCTCTGTGCAGGGAAAGCGTGAAGTTGATAAATGTAGCTGGCGAACCCCGCTACCCGTCTCCAGGAGGACGGTGTTCAAATTTTATTCAGTTAGATCCGGCATATTCCACCGAGTAGAGTAACTAGAATTGCAGATATGCAGAATCAAGAGCGCCGAGGCGGGAACCAGCGCCGAACCCTTGCCCTTCTCTTCCGCCTCTGTGCCCGCGGGGACAAGGGATCGCAGGAAGGCAGTAGCGCCTCCCACGAGAAGAGGTACCTGTGGCTCCCGCCGCAGTCCCCCGCCGCACTAGCACCCGAGCCGGACACCCCACTTCCGGGGTCGAGTAGCGGCGGGGGAGACCGGCGACTGCAGCAGGGGCGCATCAGACCACGCCCCTACCAAGTTCCGCCCCTAATGTCCATTTCGCTCTGGACTAGGCCAACCAACTTCCGGGACGCCGCGTGTCACTAAGCAGCCGAGCCCCACTTCCGGATACATCTCTTTAGGAGCGCGTGCGATAGAGTTTTCCGCGCGTTTGATTGGCGGCTTGTAGGGCTGGTGTGGTCCTATTGGTGCAGAGGAAATCTTCCCCATAGACGCCCGCGGTCTCACAGTTTTTGTTGTAGCTGATTTCCCGCCGACTGTTGGGTCTTGGACCGCAATCATGGTGGACCTGATGGAGTTGCCGAAATCGCGTATCAACGCCAGCATGCTAGCTCAGTTCATCGATCGGCCTGTCTGCTTCGTTGGGAAGCTAGAAAAGGTGCGCAGGCCTTCCTCTGATACCCCGATTTATGGCTAGAAGGAAAGGCCGGATGACTGCATGGGTAACGGAGGGTGGAGGACAGAAAGCTCTCCCTAGCTTTATTTTGCAGAAGGGAAGTTTTAAACCATTGAAACCTGGGTTTTGGCACCTCTTTAATGGCGCGGAAATGGTATTTTTGAATCCACGCCTTTCCAAATTCCAGCACCTCCACCCCGTTCATGGAGCTATAGACATGACACCTGTTGTCTACCTTCTGAAATATTCTTTTAACCAAATTTGATTGTTGACTACAACTTGACTGAATTGCTTGTTTTATTCTGGACTTTCTCTCTTATCAATCCTGTTTTCTTCGCTGAAGTCTCTTCTCCATAAATTATTCCTTAATTGTTCCTTCCAGATCTTATAGCAGCCTTATTTTACCCCAGTGTTACTATGTAATCCATAAAATCCTAAGAACTTTCTGGAAAGAGTCCAGAGGGTGCAGCTCCTTTTTCCTACAGGTGAGAAACAGGCCCATAGTCTCTGAATCTCATGAAAGTTGAAGAAAAAATTATTATGTTAAAGGCTCATCTAGTTAATTTCATCTACATGTCAACTGTGTGCCATTGATGTTATTCTGACTTCACAGACAGAGAAACCTAGTAGTGGCTGTTGTTTAGCCAAATGCTTAAAGGCCACAGTGGAAAGCAAACGTTCAAGCTAAATTTGCCTGCACTTACACAAATGCCTCTGGTAGAGCCCAGATCTGGCAATTCGTCCTCTCTTAACTTCATCCGGCCTAATTTTAAAAACCATATTCCATTTGGTAATTCCTAAGTGCAAGCAGGTCTCACATTTTGATAACTATACTGTTGTTAAGTGTCGTCTAGTAGGTTCCGACTTATAGCAACCATATATCGGCTCATAGCAACCATATATATACAGGGTTTCCAAGGAGCAGCTGGTGAATTTGAACTGCTGACCTTGTAGTTCAAGCCCAAATTATTCATTATTTATATGATATTCAAATTTAACTGGGTGCCTTGTGGCCAGATCTGGTATAATTTGAACAGAAAAAAAAATTGTTTTGGGCAAATTGGATTCATTGCTCATCTGTTGTGAAACTTTATTTTGTGAGATTTTATACGTTTTCTTTTTGTGGACTTCTAAAAATTGTGTTTCTTTTTTAGATTCATCCCACTGGAAAAATGTTTATTCTTTCAGATGGAGAAGGAAAAACTGGAACCATTGAGTTGATGGAGCCCGTACGCTTAAGTATTAATTTATGTCTGGTGGTGGTGGTGGTATGCCATGGAGTTGGTTCCAAATCAGAGCGACCCTGCATAGGGTTTCCAAGACTGTACATCTCTATGGGAGCAGAAAGCCTCATCTTTCTCTCTCGGAACCGCTAGTAGTTTTGAACTCCTGACCGTGAGGTTAGCAGCCCGACTTGTAAGCACTATGCTACCAGAGCTCCTAATTCTATGTGTATTGTAGGTAATTCTTCATCTTGGTTTTATTTGTTCCTGATGTTGCCAATTATTGGAGTGAATATATAAAGGGCAAGTTTGTAAAACTTCCTGGCTCTGAAATTAAATTTTTGTTCCCTCCTTTTCATTTTTATTTAATATCAGAGCCAGGAACTTTTACAAACTTTTCCTTTAATTAAGCATTCCAACAATGTTGTCCCCTATTCACTTTTTAAGGAAACTTGGTAGCACTATGAATTTAGCATTGGACTGCTAACTGCAAGGTTGGTTGTTCAAGCCCACCAGCTTCTCTTGAGTACGAAAGTAAAGATATATTGTTATTGTTGTTAGGTGCCATCAAGTCAGTTCCAACTTAAAGCGACTTTATCACAACAGAACAAAACACTGTCTGGTCCTGCGCCAACCTCACAATTGTTATTACATTTGAGCTCACTGCTGCTGCCACTGTGGCAATCTATCTCTTTGGGGGGGGGGGGGTCTTCTTCTTATTCACTGATCCTCCACTTTATATAATGTCCTTCTCAGGAACTGGTCCCTCATGGTAATATGTCCGAAGTATGAGAAACGAAGGCTCACCATCTTGGCTTCTAAGAAACAGTTCTTCTTTCTCCTACACAAGGTTGCTCTATAGCACAGGGTTTTACTTTATATTATTTGAGGAGGCTTCAAAGAGTGTATGTAAAAATGTAATTAAAAGATAATAAATAGAATTTACCCATAATTTTTTTGTTATTTTTGTATGTTTATTTTATGTTTCCATTCGATGATTCTTTGAGCACCCTGATTCTTGAATATATTGAATATATACCTTTAATGCTGGATTCTCATTCTTTAAGACCTTAAAACCATTTGAGATAAATCTTCCATGTTTATTCACTTTTTCCCTCAAGAGTTCTGTTTTTTCCATTCTATTTTCTATTTTTATTTACATGTATATTCAGTGATTCCTTATTTATCTTTAATATGCTTAAAAACATTTTTGTCTTATTTTCTGAAGACAAATCCATGTACCATCTGTTGTTAAAGCAGTCAAGTCAGTTCCGACTTATATCGACCCTATATAGGATTTCCAAGAAGTAGCAGGTGAGTTTGAACTGCCGACCTTGTGGTTCAAACTGACCTTGTGGGCCAATGTGTATTCTATAGCACAACACCAGGACTCTATATATAGAATATACTGTACTAAGTATCAGATAATAGAATGAGTCTACCTAATGGATCCTTTTAAACATTGCTATTTGAAGAGAAAGGAGCTCTGGTAGCGTAGTGGTTACGAATCGGGCCACGAACCACAAGGTTAGCAGTTTGAAACTACCAGCTGCTCCGTGGGAGAAAGATGAGGATTTCTGCTCCCATAAAAGATTTACATCCTCGGAAACCTTGTTCAGGGTCGCTGTGGGTTGGAACCTACTCGACGGCACTTAACAACAATTTGAAGAAACGTACAAATTCTTAGTACCTTTAACTTAGCATGATTTTGCCTTCAAATTAACTGGGTAGCTGGATTTAGGTCTTAAATGTATGGTAATAAGACTTGCAACATGCTGTTGTTAAGTGATACTGAGTTGGTTCTGACTCAAAGCGACCCTGTATGTAGGGTTTCTGAGGACAGGCTGGTAGGTTTGAACCTCTGACCTGATAGCTACAATCCAATGCCTATCTTCCATCTCCACACCAGGACTGTAATAAAACATATTTAGCAAGTCATAGTTCAAATTATTGCATTGTTAAATTTTTTTATGATCTTGTTTCATGAACTGTTAACAATTTTCCAAATTAATAACCAACTGAACAATGTCTTACACAGTTTGTTTTCTACTTAGCTTGATGAGGAAATCTCTGGAATTGTGGAAGTAGTTGGACGAGTAACAGCCAAGGCAACTGTCATGTGTGCATCTTACGTCCAGTTTAAAGAAGATAGCCATCCTTTTGGTAAATAAGCACTCCAATATTTTATGGGTTTGTATACTAGGAAAATAATTGTTTCCCTTTTTTTTTTTTCCTTTCCGTCCTTTTCTTTTTAACAGCCTTCCCTGTCATCCAAGTTAACATATCTATACTCTACCCAGTGAAGAATTCTCCCTTCCCTGTGGGTAGTCATCATAGAAAATGTATTATAGAATGATAACCTTTGCATAAATTTTTACAGCAGTAGTCTCATACAGTATCTGCCCCTTTGCAACTGAAGGATCAGCAGTTCAAACCCACCAGTCGACCCCTGAAAACCCTATACAGAGTCACTGTGGGTCGGAACCAACTTGAAGGCATATAACAACAAATAGTTTCTCTCAGTATTATGCCCTCCAGGTTCCTCCATGTTATGTGGTGTAATAGGAAACCAATTTTATTCCTAACAAGATATGTTTTTGTTTTGAATCTCTGTCCTGTCACATTTTTAACTTCTATAGAAATTTCTGGCAATGAGAGGACATTTTGGTCTGCTTCTAAGTAGTACTTACATACTTAGAAAACTGAGTGAAAACTAATTAATAGTAGAAAGAGAAGTTTGTAAAATATGGTAACAAAAATACTGTCAATTCTTTTGTTGTTGGTTTTGTTTTTGATGTATGGATTGAAGGCATCAAACAATGCATGAAAACATAAAACATCACCATGTAGAAACTGCCTATGTTGTTAAATGCTGTCAAATTGGTTCCGACCCATGGGGTTCAAACTGACCTTGTGGTCCAGCACATTACCCTGCAGTACCACACCCAGATTCTTGGATGGCCTCCCGTCCCCAGGTCCTTTCCATTTTTGGAGTCACAGTTAAATAAATACAATTGTACATATTTTATCTTCAGAAATTACATCATAAAAATAAGTTGACCTCTAAAAGAGAAAGAAAACAACCTCTTAGATGATAATTGATATTATAACATTCCACTGTATATTAAGTGTTTGCTAAAATATTTCTTTCAGATCTTGGACTCTACAATGAAGCTATAAAAATTACCCAGGAATTTCCTCAGTTTTTTCCTATGGGGATTGTGAAGTATGATTGATGAACTTTTTATGATTGTTAATACGATGTTACAGACTAATAAAGAGACCTCTGGTGTTTGAGGGAAGGATTTCTGTGGTTTCCAGAACTTAATTTGCTCTGTTTTTTATTTTATTACCTAACTGCAGATACTTCAAGCTATAGTTCTTAATAGAATTTATATGCTGACATTTCTCACCTAAGGAGGAATGGTCTTCATATATGAAAAAGGATCTCTTCTCTAGTATACAATCAGATGAAATACAAGAGCAAAGTAGTTGTTTCCTGGAATTTAGTTTTCTATTTTATTAATAAATATTAATATGATAAATGCTGTTGGTCATTTCATGATTTTTTTATTTTATTCCTGTATTCAAGTACCAACCTGAGCTATAATGTCAGGGCTTTGACCTACCAGTCGTCCAGTATGAAACACTGGATGAAGTCACAGTTTTGCACCTTACCTCACGTGACACCTTATTAATTACCTCCTTGGCAATTAGAACAAACGGACTCCTACATCTTTTGTTAAGTTGTGAAGTATCTCTTTTTCAGGATTTTAAAACAGCTTTATCTTGGACCAAACAAGGACTATATGGTCATTAAAGAAGCTGGTGGAATCATTTAATTTTTTTCTTTCAGCTGTCATTATCCTTATAGAATTCTTGTTCACATGCCACCAAGTACTGTTACTGTTGAAGGTGAGCAGGAGGAATGTGGCAAGTGTAGGATGTTAAATGCTGTCGAGCTGATTCCAACACATAACGACCCTATATAGGGTTTCCAAGCAGCAGCTGGTGCGCTTGAACCGCCCGCTTTGCAGTTCAAACGGCTATGCAGTCTGGCTCATTAACCCACAGTGCCACATCAGGATAGAGGGTGATATAAAATGTCTATTATGGCCCACTGGATTTTATGGCATGACCCATTCTGTTCAAGGAGGAAATAAGCGAATCCAGATTAGTTTAGATTGTATATTACTGAAAATATATCTAATTGATACAACCTTATTTCCAACTTTTATCTCTCAAATACAATGCAGTTTAATCAAGGGGCCTTTACATGGTATGCATAATATGCATTTTATTACAGGAAATGACGACAATTATAGTTGTCTAAGGATAGAAAAGATATCAGCCAGACTCAATTACACTGTTGTAACAGTGGGCTAAATAACATAGGAGCTAAACATTGACGGTACCCTGCTTGAAGCCTTCCTTTGAGCTACCCCTGTATAATAAGTTGAAATAATGAGAATGCTATTTTGGTTTCTGTATTTTTGTGTACTCAGTGTTGGTGCAGTCATCTCCATAACCAATTTTACAGCATTTTCATCACCCCAAAGAGAAACCCCATACCCTTTAGGCATCATTACTCCAGTGCCCCCACATTCCCAGTCCTGGTGATTAACTGGCTGCCAGCCTTTTGGTTAACAGTCTAACACAAACCATTTGCATCACCCTGGGAAGACAGTTACCTCTTCTAGACATTTCATATACATGGAATTACGTAACGTGGTTTTCTGTGATTGGGTTGTAGGAGGTCAGTACTTCATTCCTTTTTCTGGCTGAAAAGTTCATTTTCTAGCTATACCACATTTTGTTCATCTAGTCATGAGGTGATGGAACTGTTGGGTTGTTTCTACCTTGTGGCTACTAGGAGTAATTCTGCTATGAACATTCAGATAGAATTTTTTGTGTCAAGTTTGCATTTCTTTAGGTTCTATATCTAGTAGGAGTGGCATTGCTGGGGCAAATAGTAGCTCTAGGTTTGAGGAAATGCCAGGGTTTTTTCCAAAGTGGCCCTTCTATTTTACATCCCCATCAGATGATTCCAATTTCCCCATATCCCTGCTAACACGGTTTCTGTCTTTTTTATTGTAGTCATCCTGGTGATGGTGGTAGTGTGCCATGGAGTCAGTTCCAACTCTTAGTGACCCTATATAGAGTTGCTGAGGCTGTAAATTTTTATGGGAGCAGAAAGCCTCATCTTTCTCCTGCAGAACAGCTGGTAATTTTGAATTGCTGACCATTGACATTAGCAGCCTGACTCGTAACCACTACGCTACCAGAGCTCCTTGTAGTCATCCTGGTGGTGGTAGTTATGTACTGTGAAATTGGTTGCAACTCACAGTGACACTGCATAGGGTTTCTGAGGCTGTAAATCTTTATGGGAGCAGAAAGCCTCCTCTTTCTCCCACGGAACAGCCGGTAGTTTTGAATTGCTGACCTTGAGCATAGTAGCCCAATACAGTACCAGAGATCCTTAGTCATCCTGTTGTTGTTGTTAGGTGCCATCAAGTTGGAACCGACCCATAGCGACCGTATGCACAGCAGAACAAAACACTGCACGTTCCTGGGCCAACCTCACTGCTGTTGCCACGCTTGAGTCCATTGATGTTGCCGCTTGGCCAATCCATCTCATTGGGGGTCATCCTCTTTTTCTCTGACCCTCCACTTTACCAAACATGATATCCTTCTCCAGCGACTGGTCCCTCCTGACAATATGTCCAAAGTATGAGAGATGAAGTTTGGCCATCCTGGCCTCCAAGGAGCACTCTAGCTGCACTTCTTCCAACACAGATCTGTTGGTACAAATGTTCCCTGATTTATTTTACCAGTCCTCTAATTAGTCTTACCCACTAAGCTGAGGTCTTTAAGCATGAACAACCTATAGAAATCTATTTTATTGATATTCCCAATGCCCAGAATCGTACATGAATTGATTAGTATATAAAGTCTTTTTGAAAATCACAAGGCTGGGAGGAGAGAGATGATGTAGACCTGAACCGTATGGGTACAATGGCAATGGATAGGCAGCAAGGAGTCCAAGATATAATAAATTCCACAGGACTAAGTAATGAATGCTCCTAGGAGCTAGACCTAATAAGAGCTAAGGGTGAGGTCAACCAATGGTTGGTTAGCTGGTTGGTTGGTAAGTGCCATTGAGTCAGTTTCAACTCAGTGAAAAGTGGCTGGTGGGTTTGAAATGCAGATTTTGCCATTAGCAGCCTAGTGCTTATCCTTCAGTACATAAATTTAAGTAGTTGATGAGTTTTTAGTGAAGATGTCCAGAATGTGGGACCAGATAGATTTTAGAGACCTAAAAAATATTTTGAGTATAAAAAACTACCATCATTTAATCTACAATTTCAAAATCTAATATGAATTTGAAAATCAAAAGCTTTTTCCTAAATTTGTGGCAAAACTCATTTGGCAGCAAAACCTAATATGAAGTGAAGTGAGATTATTTCTAGTCTATTTTTCCATTTAGTGTAAATAATTTTGCTTCACTCAAGAAGTAGTAATGTTTGATTACAGGGTGCTATCTCTTCTCTGTTTCTGGAGGTGGGAGTCATTATACAATATATGGTAAATATGTCCTATAACTTTCCTTCTTGTTGTTAAGTACCATCAAGTTGGTTCTGACCAATAGTGACCAAGGAGTGGCTGGTGAGCTTGAGCCACCAACCCCGTGTGTTTCAAACTAACTTTGCAATACAGCACATTAAGCCACATAAGGACTCTGTAACTTTCCCATAAACCCAGAATTCTAAATTCTGACTCTGTCTCTCATCATTTCAAGTAAGGGATTATGTTCCTGAATCAAGGGATAGCATACAGAGTGAGAAAGCTATAGAACTAGTAACAGAACGTTGGTGGGCACTCATATTAATAGAGATGAGTGGGAGGAAGTAAATGGGATGAGGAAAACTAATCACTGATCAGGAGAAAAATCACAAGTGCTTGGTACCTCATAAGCACTGAAGAAATATTTGCTAACTGAAAAAATATCATGAAAGCAAGGAAAGAGTTTCAAGAAGTCAACAATGTTAAAAGTTTAAAGAACTGAAGAAGGTAAGTGTAAGCCTAAAACGCTGATCTCATTAGCCTGTAATTTATCACACATTTGTAAAATGAATTGAGCTACAAAAACTAAATAGGGAAATGTATTGAAAAAAGGAGGTGAAATCTATCAAATCACCAAGCCTGGCAGTAAATATAGCCAGACATTCACTTTAGGTGCAGGTCTTGTTTTCTAGGAAGAAAGGAAAAAGAAGGAACAAGCTACCGAGTTTTAAATAGCCTTAAGCCCTCTCGGACAATCAAACTTTTTCCTGCTATTAAATTCCAAAAGGTATATATAACACAGAGACCCTAATAGGGGATGAGGAACTACAATATGGCTATGTTTACTAGCATGCTCTTCAAAGGACCACTTTTCTTTTCATTTAACAAAGACAAAATTAAAACACAATTGTGAAAGCATCTCTTCACAGGGTAAGTTAAATGTGCTGAGTCATAAACTGGTGTTATGAATAAATTATAGATATTTGAGGTTAACCATTTTTTAATTGAGGCAAATTCACATTGCTTACAATTAACCATTTTTAAATGTAAAATTTGGTGGCATTTAATTATATTCCCTGCAGTCCTGGTGTGGCGCTGTGGGTTAATGCATTGGATTGCATAGTCAGAAGTTCAAGCTCACCAATCGCTCCTCAGAAACTCTATACATGGTCACTATGAGTCGGAAGTGACTCAGTACTTAACAACAATCATATTCCCTACGTTGTACAAGTTCCACCTTTCTGAACTTTTCAAAACATTTTCACGATCCCAGAAAACCACTGCATAACCATTTTAAGTGATCATTCTGCATTCCCCTCTTCCCTCGCTCCCTGGTAACTGCTAACTTGCTTTCATCTCTGAATTTGCCTATACAATCTATCCTATAAAAGGAATCATATAATATGTGACCTTTTGGGTCTGCTTTCCTTCACTTAGCATGTCTTCTAGGTTCATCTAACTTGTACCATGTTATTAGTGCTTCCTTTCTGTTTTGACTGAATAATATCCCATTGCATGTATATATCACAATGTTTAAAATTCATTCCTTCATTGATGGAGAGATTGTCTTTGGAGGTTGTTCATTTAACATGCACTTTTAATTCAACGGAGTCCTGATGTGGTGCTGTAGGATAAACACTGAACTGCTAGCTACAAGGCTGGGGGTTCAAAA